CCCCATGGATTCTTAAAATGTTTTTGCGTGAAACAAATTGCCGTGTGGTTATTGGTTGAACCTTCTTGACTGCGCAAGTTTCGTTGACAACACTTCAGTCCCAAGGCAGTACTGGTCTCGAAGGCAGATTTGAAATATTGCGATCTTTTCTGTTTTTCTCTCCACAGTGCATCTGCTTTGCCCAGATCTCTGCCCAGTTACACCAAGCCAAATCCCTTTCTACTTTTAATTTTTAGCCTTTATTCAATCCTGCACTTTATCCTTTGAGTCTCCATTATCTTGTTCTACTCTTAATCCAAACTGAATCCTATTGGGGCTGATATTTCCAAATTGTTCTTCTACTCTCACAGTGTCTGTGTGTCCAACTTCCGCTTCCCAGAACAAATGCCAACAATGCTCTTTTCTCAGGCAAACTAGAAAAATATTGATCCAGGAACGAAGCAGTCTTGGATGCAATTTATAAATGTTCCCTTCCTTGCCTGCAATTGAAATTGCTTCATCATTGCTGTGTTCTCAACATCTCATTGACTAGCTACAAATCTTCCCGATCTAGATGCTATCGTCTGGTGGTCCTAATGTGCCGTAAGAATGGCCTCATTTCACTTCCTGCTCTTAACGGAATGTGGATTGATCTTAACACAGCCATATAGAGCACCTTTATGTTCTGCACTGTGATAGAATCCTTTACCAATAGTACCATCCTTTCCCCCTTTTAGCTGCCTTTCCTGAAGATTGCATAGCCAAAAATATTTAACTTGTCAATCCTCAGTTACGATTTTGTTCCCTTCCAGTTATCCACGTTCCTAGTGCTTTCAGTTCTCATTTGGGTGTTTCCTGGATTCACATGCATTGCTTCAATCTTTCCTTTTTCATGGTCTTGTTCTGTTTGAAACCTCTCCCTTCAGCTTTAGCTTTTCTTTCTGTCCATTTCTTTAACCTGTTCCTCTGTGTTTCCAGTTGAGCTATTGCCCTGCCATTTTATTTTATATCCTGGAAGGCTATTGGTTGAAGCTCAGTTCATCCATCCTGTTATGATCATTAACATCCTCAAACAACTCCAATATAGCAAGCATTTTGCTTTTTCCTGTTACACCATTTCCTCAGCTTTGAATTTATCTTAAATACCTTTTCCATTTGGAAATGGATAAAAACATGCAAATAATCCCGAGACTATTACCCTTCAACTCCAGACCTGACTTGCATGCACTAAAATGTATCTACCAGGATGGTAGGTACATGTTGAAACTGTGACTTTCTGACTGGTCATACATGTACCTCTGTTTGAAACCTGGGCTTTGAATGCATGTACATTTAGTTCTATTTGGAGAGTAAGCCTTAGGTATGCGCAGCATGCTCTGTGGTAGATTCCCAGTCAGCCAAAGGGCTTCCTGCAACATGTACCATATGGACCAATGATCCACCAGCTTCCAGACCTTCCCTGATGATCATTTGGGCTGACAGTGTGTTGGATGGGCACACGTAGATTTGAGGCTTGAGATTTATGATCTTCTGGCTGAACTGTGATCGCATTAAAAATGTCTTCAAAAGAAAAGGTACCAAAACCTCCTGTGCTTACCGTTAACAAGGCCATTCAACCCATCATTTAGTGAGCTCATTACTGATCAGTATCCTAATCCCGTCCACTTTGGTTGACTCCATATACTTTAAAATGGCAAGTAAACAGCTATTTTAAATTGTTAATTTAGATACAATCTGCTTTTTTTGGGGGGGTCGTGTTCCACACTATGCTCAGCTATAATGTGAGGAGGTGTTTCCTTCATAACCTCACTCTGATTTTAGCGTTATGTCACCTTGTCCTTGACTTCCTCACCAGGGGATTATGTCTCTCTTGCTGTGTCTTTTCATAGAGTCATACAGCACAGAACAGACCCTTTGGTCCAATCGATCCACGCTGACCATGTTCCCAGACTAGACTAGTCCCACCTGCCTGCGTTTCGCCCATATCCTTCCAAACCTTTCCTATTCATGTACTTATCCAAATGTCTTTTAAATGTTGTAATGTACCTGTATCCACCACTGCCTCTGGCAGTTTACTTCACACACGAACAACTCTCCGTGTGGAAAAAGTTACCCCTCATGTCCTTTTTAAATCTTTCTCTTCTCACCTTAAAAATATGCCCCCTTGTTTTGAACTCCCCCACCCTAGGGAAAATACCCTTGTCATTCACCTTATCTATACCCCTCACGGTTTTATAAACCTCAATAAGGTCACCCCTCAACCTCCTATGCTGCAGTGAAAAACGTCCCAGTCTTTCCAAATTATTTTTATATCTCACACCCTCCATTCCCGGCAACATCCTAGTAAATCTTTCCAAACCCTCTTCTCCTTCAACCCTGTCCAAAATCCAAAGCAGAAATCTTCAATCAAATCACGCCTGAAGCTATATTCCAGGCAATGCACAAATTGTGGCCCCATCCTGGTGGGTACATTTTAGCGCATGCAAGTCAGGTCTGGATGTTTTTGCTCAGTGTGAAATAATGTTCTCAGCTATTTCATGAAGGAGTAAGTCATTTCTTCCAGTGAGGTGAACAGTCTGGTTACAATGTGGAGGGCTACAAATGGGTCATCCTTCTTTTCCATTACAAAAAAAATTGCAAGATTGCAATAGAAGTTGACACTAATTACAAGCAGTACGAGTAAAAGGAGTTGATGATTAATATTGTGAGGTTGGTTATGGGGGAGTATGGCCAAGATTAACCCAAAGCTTGCTGGTTAATGCAGGGAAATTCCTGTCTCCTTCAGCTGAGCAATTTTGTGAATTTTATGCTTATGCAGTATGACAGTAAACATGTGAATTTTCCAGTAACAACTCCTTCAAACATGCAGAACAGTTTAATGCTGTGATGTTAAGTTGAGCTTTAAAAAAAGCACATATCTCTGTTTTGTACTTTAGTTCAATTACCCTACTTGCCTTTTTCCTTTACTCTTCCTCCTTTCAATTTAAAGGTGAGCACAGGTCTAAAAATATACTCGTGGTTGCAGCTGTCTTTTAACTAATGATCGTTGTTAAATTCACTTACAGTGTGCATTGATATAGCACGTTTAATGTGGTGAACTATCTCAAGGTGCTTCACAGAAGCATCACCAAATGAGATTTCATCCCAAGGGCTTGACATTGACTTGCTCAAAACTTGTTCTCTTGGACAGTCAAAATCTGGCCTAGAGTCACATGAGGTATTAAAACAGGCAACTGGATATTTGGTCAAATGGGAACCATGAGGAGTGAAGAGCAGAGATGCTTAGGAAGGGCTTCCAAACCTTGGCTCAGGAACGAGGAGGGAAGCCTTTGGCTCCAGGATGAAATGGACAGGCTGATCCGATGGGCAGAACAGTGGCAGGTAGAGTTTACTCCTGATAATTGTGAGGTGATGCATGTTGGGCAGATGAACAAGGCAAGGGGAGTACTCAGTACGCTGAAGAAGGGTCCAGACCCGAAACGTCAGCTTTCCTGCTCCTCTGATGCTGCTTGGCCTGCTGTGTTCATCTAGCTCTACACCTTGTTATCTCAGATTCTCCAGCATCGGCAGTTCCCACTATATCTAAAGGACTAATGTTCATTAGAGAAGGAAACTGCCATCTTTACTTGCTCTGGCCTACATGTGACTCCAAATCCACAGCAATGTCATTGACTCTTAACTGCCCTCAGGGCAATTAAGGACGGAAAACAAATGGACTGGTCTAGCCAGCAACGCCTTCATCCCCACGAATGAATAAAGTAAACTATCAGAAGGATGTGATTGCCCTAGAGAGGGTGCAGGGGAGATTCACCAGGATGTTGTCTGGGCTGGAGAGATTCAGTTAAGAAGAGAGAAAATATAGACTGGGTCGATTTTCTTGGAGCAGAGAAGGCTGAAGGAGAACCTGATTGAGGTGTACAAAATTAAGAGAGGCACAGGTGGGGTAAATAGGAAGGTACTTTTCCCCATTTGTGAAGGGGCCTACAACCAGGGGGCATAGATTTTAGGAAAAGGGCAGGAGATTAAATGACACTTTGCCTAGTCCTCTCTCTTCAAGGCTGACTGACCTACTGAGCATTTCCGACACTTTCTTATTTTAGGTTTTCAGCATCCGAGGTGTTGTAATTTTGGTCAAAACTAATTCACTGGCTGTTAAGTGCGAATTCTTGCTCTCCGAATCATACAGATTGATCACATGCAAATTGTATAAGTCCCGTCCTTGTTTTCATTACCAAAATTTACCCAAACTAAATTCCATCTGCCACTCGATGTTGACAAGAGGCCTCGAGCGGATCAGTGACTCTGGCACCTGCTGATAAGCCATGAAGACCAAATATGGGAATAAGGCTAATCAAACAGTGGTACAGTAGCTCAGCGGTTAGCGCTGCTACCTCACAGCGCCAGGGACCCGGGTTCAATTCCACCCTCAGGTGACTGTCCGTGTGGAGTTTACACATTCTCCCCGTGTCTGTGCGGGTTTCCTCCAGGTGCTCCGGTTTCCTCCCACAGATGTGCAGGTGGATTGGCTATGGGAAATTGTCCGTAGTAAACCATGGGGAATGCAGGGTTACAGGGATAGGCTAGGGGGTGGGTCTAGGTGGACTCAATGGGCCAAACGGCCTACTTCCACACTGTGGGGATTCCATGAAAAGGAAAAGGCAATGCTCAGTGCCCAGTTAAATGTGTAGTTATCATCCTTGTGCTCTCCTGGTCCACCACACAGCCGCAATAATTAATCTGAAGCCTAGGAGGACAAGGATCAATGAGGGGATAAATCCAGTAACAGGACTTAATAAAATAAAATGCATTTTAAATGCAAATGTGAAACATTCACATGTTAAATTTTATTGGAATCGGTTAAAAATGACCAAGCAGCCTTAATGGTTTGAACTAATTTGTTGCAGCCCTTTTGCTGGATGTAATAACCTTGGTAATAAAGACAATGTATGCATCTTTGTGTGCACGATTAAGACCATCGGGGAACAGGAATGATAATTTTCTGTCTTGTATTTATGTTTCAGATTGGTGCCCACAGCCCGTTACTACCCTCTGCGATTACACTGTGTCCGAGCACTGACGCTACTTTCTGACTGCACCGGGACGTTTATTCCAGTGATGCCTTTCATTCTGGAAGTAAGCCTGCGCCTTGATTGTTGCTAAAAGGGTTAATTTGTGGAAAATGCTGAGTTTCAGTTCTGTGAATAGCACTTTTTATCTGAATGCTGATGACGTTTTGTTTGCCTGTTCACCAGTAGTAGCTTGGTGGTGTTTAAGGCTTTGTTTAACTCTTCGGAAACTGTGCTCAACATCGTAGAGGTGTACAGCATAGAAACAGACCCTTCGGTTCATCACATCCGTGCCAGTCAAAAACAACCACCTGGAATGTGATGGCCTAGTGCTATTAGCGCCACCATGTTAATCCAGAGACCCAGGTAAAAAATATTCTGGGGACCTGGGTTCGAATCCCACTATGGTGCATAATGGAATTTGAATCCAATAAAATTCTGGACTTAAGAGCCTACTGATTACCATGAAATCATTGTCAATTATCAGAAAAAACCTGTCTGGTACAATAATGTCCTTTAGGGAAGGAAACTACCATCCTTAACTGGTATGAACTACGTGTGACTCCAGACTCTCAACAATGTAGTTGACTCTCAACTGCCTTCTGGGCAATCAGGGATGGGCAATAAATGCTGCCTAGCCAAAGAAGCCCATATCCTGTGAATGAATAAAGGGGAAAAAAAACTATTCTAATCCCACTTCCCAACACATGGCATCACAAGTGCATATGTAAACACTTCTCAAATGTTAAGAGAGTTTCTGCCTCTACCATCCTTAAAGGCGAGGAGTTCCAGATTACCACTACCCTGTTTGAGTGAAAAAGATTTTCCCCATATCTCCTTTAAAGCTTCTTCCCCTTCTCTTAAATCTTGGTCATCGATCCCTCCGTAAGAGGAGATGCTTCTGCCTGTGTACCCTGTCTATGCCCCTCATCATTTTATACATCTCGGTCATGTCCCCTCTCAATCTCTTCTGCTTTAAGGAAAACAACCCCAGTCTGTCCAGTCTCTCACCCCCAGATCTGGGGGTGCAGGTATATAATTCATTGAAGTTTGCGTCACATGTAGACAGGGTGGTTAAGAAGATGTTTAGCATTGAGATTCTGCAGCCCAGGCAACATCTTGGTAAATCTCCTCTGCACCCTCTCCAGTGCTATCACATCCCTCATCTAATGTGGGTTCCAGAACTGTACACGGTACTCTAGCTTCAAGAAAAATAAAATTGTTTTCGCTGGCAGGAGATAACTCGACAATGTGTTTAACTGGCAAAAGAGGCAGAGATAGCTGAGATTTTTTTTTCTCAATCTAATTGCTACGATTTGGAGCATGCTATCAGAAAGACTCAGTAATTTCCAAAAGTAAATTGATAAATATTCTATGTGCAGAAAATTTTGGGACTAATTAGTTGAGTATTAATGTGGATGGGCAATAGAGTGCTTTCAAAGAGCTGGCACAGATATGATGGACTGAATGTTATCCCATACCACCCAAGGACAAAACACCCTGACTGTTGTTCCTTAATCCTTAGGTGCCTGTGATCCCTGAATGTAGAAGGGATGCCTGCCTTTGCGTGCCACTTTGTGCTTTTGCAAGGTGTCTTATACTTCTGTTAGTTTGGAAATGCATTGTTGTTCCTCAACTCCATTTCCAGCCGAGACATGAGAATATAACATTGGTATCAGTGTATAATGTAGTGGATGATTTATATTTTAATAGCGGAATATGTTTCAGATGCAGACGGTTACCATGCACATCCACTTCTGGCAGATTACAATAAGCTGACACCTTTGTTGAAATATTACAAGGCCGTATTTATTTTGTGTTTTTATTCACTCATGGGACAGGGGCATCGCTGGCTGGCCTGGTATTTATTGCCTGTCCCTACTTGCCCCTTGAGAAGATGGTGATGAGCTTCCTTCATTAACCGCTGCAGTCCATGCACTAAAGGTAGACTCTCAATGCCTTTAGGAAGGTAATTCCAAGTTTTTGACCCAGTGACAGTGAGGGAATGGTGGTATATTTCGAAAATAGAACAGTGAGTGGCTTGTAGGGGAACCTGCAGGTGGTGCTATTCCCATTTATCTGCTGTCCTTGTCCTTCCAGATGGAAGTGGTCGTGGGTTTGGAAGGTGCTGTCTGAGAATCTTTGGTGAATTTCTGCAGTGCATCTTGTAGATAGTACACACTGCTGCAACTGAACAGCAGTGGTGGAGGGAGTGGATGTTTGTGGATGTGGTGCCAATCAAGCGGGCTGCTTTGGCCTGGATGGTGAAAAGAGTGTTATTGGAGCTGCACCCATCCAGGCAAGTGGGGAGTATTCCATCACACTCCTGACTTGTGCATTGTAGATGATGGACAGGCTTTGGGGAGTTAGGAGGTGAGTTACTCGCTGCAGGATTCCCGGCTTCTGACCTGCTCTCGTAGCCACTGTGTTTCTGTGGGAAATCTAGCAGAGCTTCTAGACATTGGAGAGTTTGCTTCCTGATTTCCAATATTTCCTGTTTTGCTAGGACTTCTTGTTGCCATGCTCAGTCATATCATGTCAAGGACTGTCACTCTAACATCATCCTTGCCCTGTCTTAGCTGTCCTGAGACAGCAGCGGTGAGCTATGTGGATGACACCAAAATTGGTGGTATAGTGGACAGTGAAGGTTATCTAAGATTACAATGAGATCTTGATCAACTGGGTCAATGTGTTGAAGAGTGGCAGATGGAGTTTAATTTGGATAAATGTGACGTATTACATGTTGGTAAAACAAACGAGAGCAGGACTTCTACAATTAAAAGTACAGCCTTAGGGGTAGTGTTATAAAACAGAGAGATCTGGGGGTGCAGGTACATAATTCATTGAAGTTTGCGTCACATATAGACAGGGTGGTTCAGAAGATGTTTAGCACACTTGCCTTCATTGCTCAGGCAACTGAGTATAGGAATTGGGATGTTATGTTGAGGTTCTCCAAGATGTTGGTGAGGCCTCTTCTGGAGCATTGTGTCCAGTTCTGGTCACCCTGTTTTAGGACGGATATTATTAAGCTAGAGAGGGTTCAGATAGATTTACCAGCATGTTGCTGGAAATGGAGGGTTTGAGTTATAGGGAAAGCCTGGATAGGTTGGGTTTTTTTTCCACTGGAATGTAGGAGGTTGAGGGGTGATCTTAGAGGTTTATAAAATGATGAGGGGTGTAGATAAGGTGAATGGCAGGTGTCTTTTCCCTAGCGTGGGGGATTTTAAGACTAGGGGACATATTTTTAAGGTGCGAGGAGAAAGATTTAAAAAGGTATGAGGGGCAACTTTTTTTTTAAAGAGAGTTTTTCACGTGTGGAATGAACTTCCAGAGGAAGTGGTGGATGTGGGTACAATTACAATGTTTACAAGACATTTGGATAAGTATATGAATAAGAAATGTTTGGAGGGATATGGGCCAGGAGTAGGCAGGTGGGCCTAGTTTAGTTTGAGATTATAGTCAGTATAGACTGGTTGGACCGAAGGGTCTGTTTCCGCGCTGTATGGCTGTATAAACTATGATGTTTTAGAAGTGCCACAATGCTTCTGGTGATTTATATTTTCCAAGCTGCTGGGGTCAGTCCTGCTGGGCTGCTGAGGTGTTAGGCTCTTTCAATCACAGGAGCTCTTCTGAGTTTGCCTTTTACTCGTCTCCACTATTGACCCTTTGATTGTGATTCAACCTCGGAGCAATGCTCCAGTTAGCACCGACTTTCATATCAGCGTCCTCGAGGGGAGGTCTCATCGTCTCTGTCTCCTTTCAACGCTGAGAGGTTTGAATTATTTTTATCCTTTGCTTAATAACCAGTCTTTGGACATTGGGCAACAGGATTTTCCTGAGGATTCCTGCCCCCTGTGGGAGTGCTACGATGAGAAAAGTGTGTTGATAATTCCTACACTCTCAAATCTGGTGTTTCTTGCTGACAATAAAAAAAAAACTCTACCAGGATGCAGTTCCCAAATTGTACCATCTTTCTTTCATGTCCACCTTCACTTGTCCTGCACGCCAACTTTTGGTGGGGTGGGTCAGTGTCAACGTGACTGGAGCATTGGAGATTGAGGTGTCTTTTTAGGCATTTTTTGTTTTTGCAGCATTTTTTTTCTCCAACATCTGCTGCAAATTAATCCAGTTTAGCAATGATCCCAGACTCTCTAGTATTCTCCTTGGCGACTTCTCCCAAGTTACGGGTGAGTTTATAATTACAGATTATAGTTGCTGACTACTTGTTTGTTTCTAGTCATCAGTTCTGCTGGTTGTTGATGAGTGACTAACACTCTGCAGCTACCCTCTGTTTTCCTACTATTGTTTTGGACTGGTGCTATTCAACAGAGTTTGCACAGGTTCACATCAAATCCTTCAAGATTGTCAGTCATACTTTGCTACATTTGTAACTAATTTACTTTAGCATCCTGGGGTTTATACCATCATCGGAGAGTCATAGCGTGTGCATCATTTTGGATTTGTTTTTCAGTGATATTCCAATTACAATTGCATCTGTCCTGCTTGATGGTATCGGTAATATAATGTAATGGGCGAAATAGGGAATGGAGAAGATCCTGTCATGGTTTAGACTCAAGGCATTGTAGACCTTATTCTAAAAGGTAACTGTGGAGGAAGTGGGACTGAATGAGTCCAAGTGATTCATGTGCTGTCTGAATTTCATTTGCGCCTCTTACTCAGAAACTAGCAGTAAACGAAAGAAGACCCAAGACGAAATCCCACTTAATGCTACTACTCTCCTGCAGCAGTTCTAAGAAACTACCTTTAAAATCTGCACTGTCTCTTACCTATCTAAACAGCTTGGCTTTACTGGTAGCTGCTGTCTCAAGTACATACCTATTAATCCTCTCCAATAACCTCCTGCAGCCTCACCTGCCAACAAAGTGCTGAAAGTCTGTATATACCACAACCGCTGCATCAGTGCTGTTAGCACTTTAAAGAATTGTATCACTTTTTGCAAACACAGTCTTCCATATTGACATATTGTTCTGGTCACTTTTTAAATTTCATTTTAGGTAACGATTGGTTAGTGCCTCATTAAAGATTCCAACCCTTACCTTGCTACAC